AGCATTTTCTCACATCATGGTCCAATTTTCGTGGCACTTGGTAACTTCTTTTCATATATATTATGATTGAAGTTCAAGTGTTTTATAGAGTTTCATCAAAGATGAAAACTAATCATGTCACTGAACTCTTTTTAGTTCTAATTATTTTTTCTTTAATTTTCTGGGATTTTATGAGTAGAAAATTATATTACCTATAGATTTATGATCTAACAATATATGTTATCCTTCTTTCTAACACACACACACACACACACACACATACACACACACATTTCTTTATCTTGTGTTGACCAGAATATCCAAGGTGGTATTGAATAATGACTATGACATGAAGTGTCTTGTTATAGCTCATGATTTTTTGTGGAAATAATTCTGGTGTTTTACTGTTTAAAATGAAAATTTGGGATGCCTGGGTGGCTCAGCCAGTTAAGCGTCTGCCTTTGGCTCAGGTCATGATCCCAGGGTCCTGGGATTGAGCCCTGCATTGGGCTCCTTGCTCAGCAGGGAGCCCGCTTCTCCCTCTGCCTGCCGCTCCCCCTGCTTGTGCTCTGTCTCTTCCTCTGACAAGTAAAGAAATAAAATCTTTAAATAATAAATAAAATAAAGATGGTCATTGTTTTGTGACAGCTGTCACATTTTTATCAAATTTCTTTTAAGCATCTATCATAATGATGATCTAGTAATATTTTGTTTAGCAGTTTTGAAACTATAATGTGAGATTTACGTAGAGTCTTTTCTGGAGAATGTTGATAGGGTATCTTTGTCAGATTTTTATTTCAGGTTAAACACTATCTAATAAACTGATGTCAGGTTGGTTGGTAATGGTTGCAGGCCTTCCTTTTCAGCCACACTTGATGAAAATTTTCATCTGCAGCTCAGAGGAAGATGTAGTATGACTGCTTACCAAATATGTAGCAATACAAAATTTGAATGTAGATAAAATATATTATGTGATTGAACTAGATAGGTTAACTTTTAACCCAATGATATTCAGCAAATTGAAGTAAAAAGAAAAAGTACACAAGTCTAGGACTTTTTGATCTGTGGCTTAAGAGCATCTAGAAGAAATAGGTGTGAATTTTAGTTTTCAATCCATCATGAAAAAAGTATGTGATGAGCTAGATGCAATTTTAGACTCTACTCCTTGATTTGTAATATTTAAAATGAAAGTGATACAGGCTGGCTGGGTCCAAGGATACAGAGGGGGGTCCCACAGGACCAGCCAAGAGGGTCCTTGGCTTCACATAGGATGGAGATCAAACATGAGCCCAGAGGAAGTGAGAGCAGAGTTTATTGAAGATTCATGGAGAGAGCAGATACAGACAGTCTGGGAGACTCAGAAAGGAAAGAGAGAGAATCTCATCTTTGCTTGCCATTTGGGGTTTGGATTGAAGACAGTGGTCTGTCCCCTCAGACATTCAGGAATTGGTCAAAACAAGGATGAGTTCTTAGACATCCTCCATAAGTCACGGAGGCTCTGGAGTCAGTGGTCTTGGAAAACAGTCATGACAACCTCTCTTGGTCACTCCTTAGATGTTATCTGTTGTGCTGGAAGACTCTGAAGAAATCATTAACTCCTTGACTGTTACAAGGAGGACATACATTAAGGCATGTGTAAGAATACATTGAGACAGGGAAACTGAAGGGACCACATGAAAAAACTGTTTTTGTTCCTTTTCCTTCTTCTATTCTTGCTAGGACACGTACCCCCACCTTACCACATGTTAATATATATTCTTCTTATAAAGGAGAAAAGATCTCTTATAAAGGAGAAAAAGATCTCCTCTTTTTATGTCAGATGTGGCCAACCTGGAGTATGACTTTAAGTTCTGAGGGCTACACTTTGAAGATGAAATGAGAAAAAGATTTTTTTTTAATTTTTTAATGTTTTTTTTAAAGATTTTATTTATTTTTTTGACAGAGACACAGGGAGAGAGGGAACACAAGCAGGGGAAGTGGGGAGAGAGAAAAGCAGGCTTCCCACTGAGCAGGGAGCCTGATGCAGGGCTCCATCCCAGGACCCTGGGATCATGACCTGAGCCGAAGGCAGACGCTTAACGACTGAGCCACACAGGCGCCCCTAGAAAAAGATTTTTAGGAAAAGGTAATTTTTGGAAAATTGATACATAATTGTAAAAAGTAGTGAGCAAACACAACATAGAGTCAGAGTGAAGATTCTCGAAGAAAGGTTCAAGATACTTTATATTGTATTATGTCATGGAGAAAAACTAGCTCCTTGGGATTAGAAATTTGAGAAAGAAATTCTGTAGTAATGTGTTACTGGTAAAGGATGCAAGTAAAAAAAAAAAGTGACATAGGATGTTGTATATTGAGAGTGCTTTAGCCACTTAATTTGTGTGCCCAGAGCCTAGCTAGATACTTAAGAAACAAAATTTGAGTGATATAGATCTCTACCCCCAAAGAACTCCTCCTCTGTTAGACTTGATTTGGGCGGGGGGGTGGGGGAAGACTTGCTTTAGACACTTCCTCAGCCTTTATAGGATGAAAATGTTCTTAATGTTATGCTGATATCATGTCTTTAAATTTAGTTTAAGTAGATAATATATTCCCAAGGAATAATTTTAAGCACTAAGAAAATCTGGTTTAGAGACACCTGGGTGGCTCAGTCGGTTAAGTATCTGCCGTCAGCTCACGTCATGATCCCGGGGTCCTGGGATCGAGTCCCGCATCGGGCTCCTTGCTCAGCAAGGAGCCTGCTTCTCCCTCTGCCTGCCGCTCCCCCTGCTTGTGTGGGCTCTCTCTGACAAATCAATCAATCAATCAATCAAATCTTAATTTTAAGTGCAATATCCTTTTGTTGTGGGTCATCGAGCACAGGGGCAAGAAATTCCTGAGATACACTATGGTGCAACTTAGTAATTTATTTAAGTAGTGCGGGGACAGGACCCCTGGGCAGAAACAGCTGCACTGTGGCTGTATGAAGCTGGTGGATATATGCTTAAGGCTCAAGCGGGAGGGGACATGCAGGGAGTATTAGATCATAAATATTTCTTTGAATTTCTACTCATAAAACTACTTTTGCAAGATTTCTCTGGTGCTTATCATTCAGTTCAGTATTAACTATCAGTGAGATATACAGGCAGTCATGAGACCCTTTAAAGATGTATTTGAGCCTTATTAAAACTATGCAGGCCTTCTGGGCTAAATGTGAACACTTTTCTTCTTTCATTCCTCGTCGCTTTTGTGGTATGTATCAGATTTACTATTTTCTCATTTGGCTGCAAGATTTCTAGTAGGAGCTTATGCATTATTGCTAGAAATCTTTTGAATTTATAACTTAAGGCCAAGTTTGGTTGGGAGAGCTTTATAATAATAAGTCTTGGCAATAGAACCCAAGGAGAAATTAAGACTGTTTCTCTGTTGAGTCCACTTAAAGTTGTACTTGTGCCTAATTAAACCTTGAAAATGCCTGAATTAGGGGAAACTATGGAAAATGGCATAAAATGGCAAAATGAAATATTAGGTTCTGCCAAAGAGAAGTTTTATTGATTTATGGTTTAATGTTCACCTAGTTATCTTAAACAAAAGGAAAAACTCTTGAGACTTCATCTTTGGGATATCTAAATATCCCAAATATCTCCTAAATATTGCTTTCCCACAAACCCCCGGTATGCCTACAGATAGGGAGGCAGATGGCGGGACAAATCCCACTTAGGTGAGTGCTATTCACTTATTCTTGACAGAAATTAAATCCTTTGAAAATAATCATCAGTGGCAGTTTAGACAGAGAAATGGGAAAGGGAAGGAAGCCAGAAGTCTGAGAGGTGTGTGAAAGGGGAAGAGTTTTTGTCAAGATTTTCCATGTTGATTCTCAGTTTGAGTTTTTCCTTTTCCCCACTTACTAATCCACCAAACATACTGTCCTCCTAGACAGAGTTTAGAAATCCTAAACCCAGTATAACTGGAAACTTGATTGCAGGTCTTAAAATCAGGGGCCTTCCAAAAGTTGAGTTAGTCTCTCCAGATGTATTTCATCTGCTGCTAATGGAAAAGGGAAAAGTATAACCTTACACCCCAAAGCTATTAGCTTAGCTGGCAGCATTAAACGAAAATGAGGAAATGCAAATCCTAATCTCTGGCACTGAAGTAGATAATTAGTTTTGGTTCTGAAATTTGGTGAATACATTTAATTTTTATGGGTTATCTCACATCCTAATGAGCATTCCCCGTGATAGCTATACTTATGACCCTACGTAACACTTCACAGGGCTGACATGTTTTCTGCTTTAGTTTTATCCAAGACTTGGTGTCAGTGATTTTCTTGGTTCCTTAACTCAGAAAGACAAATTAGTCGAGAGCATTTACTACTTAAATTGCCTTGTGTTGCTGCTTGCCATGCTTCCCTGGAAGAGATAAGGGTTTGGGTTTGTATTGTTCCCAGGGAGGTGATTGGTTCTTAGTGGCATAATGAATTTACCAATCCCACTTTCAGTTTTAAAACCAGAATGCTGGAACAGCCTGCCACCCCACCCCTCATTTTAATCAGCAATTTAAGATAGTATTCTAAAGTACTCAAACATACAGTAAAGTTAAGAGAATTGTGTAATTAGCTCCCTTGTATCCAGCGTTCAGCTTCAATAATTATCAACACTTCTTAGGCAGTTTTCTGACCAGAAAATACATTGCCCTGGGATGGCTGGGTGGCTCAGTCAGTTAAGCGTCTGCCTTCTGCTCAGGTCATGATCCCAGGGTCCTGGGATTGAGTTCCCACATCAGGCTCCTTGCTCAGCGGGGAGCCTGCTTCTCCCTCTGCCTGCCGCACCTGCTGCTTGTGTCCTCTCTCACTCTGACAAATAAAGGGGTAAAATCTTAAAAGAAAGAAATAATGAACATTGCCCTGAAAGCTTCAATTCTTGATCAGTATTCAGCTTTTGTCTTTCAAGTTTTGGTTCCTGGGGCTTTGGACCCTGCAATTGTATTAAAAGAAGTTTAAGAAATTTAGTGTTTAATAGTCATTTGAAGGCACTCTCTTTTTTCAGCTCGCCTCCCCTCAGGGAAATCCCCTGGTTGTAGGGTGCAAGACGAAATCTGGAGATATTTTTTGTAGCTCGGAGATGTTTTTCATAGAACTGATCAATATCCCTATTTCCCTTCAGGGGACCCGCCTAAAAACGAAATTGGAGAACGTATGGGCGGCTAGTCAGTTCCTACCCTGCCTCAATGCTATTTTCTAAATATTTACAGAGAGTAAATTTACAGAATAGTTTCCTGGTCACACTCTGGAGAGTATCTCAATTACTTTCTTCCCACTCCACTTCGCACGTCCTGTTGGGGATGAGTGTCAGTCTTTCTGAGTTTCAGGTGCTTGTACGGACTGGTTTCTAACCTCTCATCCAGAGCGTCAAGGGTCGCTTGTGAGGCACTCCGTAGTAGGGCCTCCTGGGGAAAGAGAAACTGCTGACCCACAAAAAGCCAAACGAACTGTAAGCCTTGCGCTCACCCACACCCAGGTGCCTCGAAAAGCCAGAGTCCCGGGGAAGCTTGAGGAGGACCCTATTCCCCAATTTACCCCTCGCTGGTCGCCTCTATTGAATTCTTGGCTCCTGGTATAAAAGAAGGTGCAGGAGAGACTTTAACCCGCAGCAGAGAGGCTGGGAATCCAGATGCACCTCAGCCCTTAGTTTGGGGGCTTCTGTTTCCTTAAGCTTCGAAGGCGTGGTCATTCAGGGTCCCGATACCACCTCTCGCCGCCACCGCCCGGCGGTTTTTCTGGGAGTTCCGCTCTCCTCGCGGGCACTGTAGGGGTTCCGGGGGTCCGAGCGCCCGGCACTAGACGTTCCGCGGTCAAACAGTGGCGAGAGAAGCCCAGCCGAGCTCAGCCCTAGCTACGAGCAGTCTTTAGGCGGCGGCTGTGGAGGTTAAGACCGGGCGGGTCTTAGGGCGTTGTCCTTAGAAACGCCGTTCGAGGGAAGATGTGTTAGTTTCCCCGAGCGTCTTCCTTGCCCCGCCCGGCCGCCGGGACTTTGGAGAGATCCCAGCAAGCGGGGAATGGAGACGGCACCTCCCTAGCCCGAGCCGTTTACCTCGTCTCTGCACCCCTAGGCGGCGCTGCGCTCCTCCGCACCCGCAGCTCCGCTTCCCCAGACGGCTGCCAAAGCTCCAGTCCGGCGAGCAGTGCTTCCAGCCCGCCAGCCCCCGGCAATTCCAGTATATTCAGGAGGCCGAACGTCGGCGATCTGTGTCCCTCTAGCCCGCTGTGGCGGGGGGCCGGCCCTTGCTCTTTCCTAGGTATCGTGCTCCCCGGGAGTCCGGAGCATGGTCCTGGGTCGCTGCTGGTGGAGCGAGGACGCCGAGAGGGAGGATGGTGGGCTGGAGGGTGGCGGTTTTATGTCTGTGGGTCTCCTGCGGCTCTGCCGCCGGACAGCTGGAATACTCAGTGTTGGAGGAGACCGAGCGGGGCGTAGCTGTAGGCAGTGTTTCCGCCGACTTGGGGCTGTCAGCGGCCGCTCTGTCCTTGAGGAACTTTCGCTTCCTTTCCGGCCACCGCGAGCCCTACTTCGGGGTGGATCTGGCCAGCGGTAGCTTGGTGGTCCTAGAGCCGGCGGACCGCGAACGGCTGTGCGAGACCAAAGCTGTCTGCGTCTTGACCTATGAGCTGGTGCTCGATGACCCGCTGGAGCTACACACGATGCGAGTTCACGTCGTGGACACCAACGACAACTCGCCTTTCTTCCCTGCCGGCGACGTGCAGCTGCACATCCCCGAGTTCCTGATGCCCGGAGCCCGCTTTACTCTCCCTAACGCCCAAGATGCTGACGAGGGAAGCAACGGGGTCCTAAGCTACAGTCTGAGCCCCAGCCAGCACTTTCGCCTGATCATGGGATCGCGGGTGGACGGCAGTGAATACCCGGAGTTGGTATTAGAGAAAGCGTTGGATCGGGAGCAGCGCGCCACCCACCAGCTGGTGCTCAGCGCTAGGGACGGCGGGCAGCCCGCGCGCTCCGGAGACGCACGAATTACCATCATAGTGGTGGACACAAACGACAATGCGCCTGTGTTTGAGCGCACGGTGTACCGCGCCAAGGTAGCAGAGACTGCACCGAACGGGACTGTGTTACTACGAGTTCAGGCCTCGGACCCGGATGAAGGCTCCAATGGGGAAATCCGGTACTCCTTAAGCAATAGCACGCGAGCCGCGCTGCGACACCACTTTCACGTGCACCCTAGAACTGGGGAGGTGCGGGTAGCTGCTTCACTGGGTCCACCTGAAACGTTGTTGGAGGCGTACATTGAAGCGAGGGATGAGGGCACCTTCGGTTTAGCTAGTACTGTCAAACTGCTGGTGGAAGTGACGGATGTGAATGATCATGCCCCCGAGGTGAATCTCCTGACTCTGTCCAGTTCAGTTTCTGAGGACGCTGCCCCTGGCACAGTGATTGCTCTCCTCAGTCTCAGGGATGAGGATCTCGGTCCCAACGGTAAGGTCGTTTGTAGCATGTCCAGTGGAGGCCCTTTTAAGCTGAAGGCTTCCTTTGATAACTACTACATTTTGCTGACTGATGGGCTGCTAGACCGGGAGCAGGTCAGCGAATACCAGGTCCTGATCACTGCCTCAGATGGTGGCTCACCCCCCTTGAGCACCCGCAGGACACTGACTGTGTCTGTTGCTGATGTGAATGACAATTCACCAAGCTTTGCTCAACCGCAGCAGGAACTTTTTGTGGCTGAAAACAATGGTCCTGGGGCTTCTCTAGGCCGTGTGTTTGCCCAGGATCCCGACCTGGGGAAGAACGGCCTTGTCTTCTATGAGCTGTTGGATATTATCTCTGAAAGGCAGACCGCCTCTAGCTTGGTGGCAGTAGAATCATCCAGCGGGGCTATCACTGCCAAAATGTCCTTTGACTTTGAGCAGCTCAGGGGGTTTCACTTCCAAGTGGAAGCCCGGGATGGTGGCATTCCTCCCAGGAGTGCAACAGTGACTGTGAACTTGTTTGTGGTAGATAGGAATGACAATGCTCCAGTCATCTTGTTTCCCGTGCCCAGAAATGGCTCTGTTCCAGTGGAAATTGTGCCCCGCTCTGCCAGAAGTGGACACTTGGTCACAAAAGTGGTAGCAGAGGATGCAGACAGTGGCTCTAATGCTTGGCTTTCTTACCATATTTCTCAGGCTTCTGACTCCAGCCTTTTCAGAATTTCAGCCAGTATGGGAGAGCTCCGAACTGCCCGATTAATTCTTCCCAGTGATGTGGTTAAACAGAGGGTGGTGGTCATGGTTCGGGACCAGGGAGACCCAACACTTTCCTCTTCTGTCACATTGGGTGTACTGTTGAGCAACTCTGCCCCTCAGGTCCTTCCAGACTTTGAAGATACCTGGGAAACAGGAGGCCACCTTTCTACCCAGAACCTGTACTTAGTAATTGCTCTGGCCTGTATTTCCTTGTTATTTCTGGGGTGCTTACTTTTCTTTTTGTGCATCAAGGTGAACCAGAGCCCAGTTTGTTGTTCTCAAAGGCGCTGTCGCTCCGCAGAGGAACTGAGGTATGGGAGGAAGATGGCTTCAAGTCCCTGTATGGCATCAGCCACAGTAGATGTCACTACAGTTGAGAGACTTTCTCAGACCTATCTCTATCAGGCCTCTCTAGGACTTGGTTCCGATAATAACAGTTTGCTGTTGCGTGGGGAATACAGTGCTGCTGACCTGAGAAATCTGGCTACAGGGGTAGGATTGAATTTGCCAATATCCTGCATTCATATTCGGAATAGGAAAGGGGATCACATAAATGTCAATGCCACGGTAAGCAAAGTTTTGGAGATTTGATTCCGTTGGCCAGGAGATGACTGCTAGCTGTGTTCTGAAATGCTTCTTAGGTGAGCCTTTGGCAACATTTAATCCACTGAATTGAACACTCCTGCTTAGCACCCACTGTGCTAAGAATTTTGGGCATATATAAGTATTAAAAGACTGTCCAAGGAGTTTATAGTTTGAGAAACAAGGGTAAGAAATTCAAACCCATCAAAGAACAATAAAAGTAATATAGCATAAAGGTCTAAAATTAAGAAATAAGGCACCAGTTTCTGGTACAGGTAATAAATGACCTGGGAAGTTTTTAATTCCCTTTGGGAATTTGTTTAAGGAATTATTTAAAGCATAAATCCCTTCATTCAAAAAACTATTTTGTGCAACAGATATGTGTAACACATTCTGACACCAAAAGTGGGAATGAAAAATATACACTACTCTTTGCATAAAATAAGCATGATATCATGGAAGATGAGACATTTGCTCAAACCATTACAATACATGATTTAATGATGATAACCTAAAAAATGTAAAAATAAATTGCAATTGATGTTCAAAGAAGGGAGAGAGAGACTGTGAGAGAACATCTAGGAAAGGAGGAAGGAATCAGAGAAGGCATGATGGTAGACATGGCATTTGAATTAAATCTTGAATGATATACCATTTAATAAAATGCAACATATTTTCTAGGTCATACCTTAAATAAATGCCATTTTTGATGGAGTAGTCTTTTTCGAGAATGACACTCTAAAACATAGCTAATAGCTCGATACAGTGTTTCTAAGTATATGGACATTATAAGCATGTCTCAGAACACCTATTTGTATTGATAGAAAGAAGATCAAACCATTGGGTATAGGACTTGACAACCTTTAATTTTGTGTTTTTATTGATATATTTCACAAATAATAGATGAGTGGTTGTTTTTTAATTCCAGTGTAGTTAATATACAGTGTTATATTCAATTCAGGTGTACAATATAATGATTCAACAATTCCGTATATTACTCAGTGCTTGAAAGGGAATTGTTACATCAGAAACATTAGTGTGTTCAAGGTGCATTTGCCATTCAAAGTCCATTCAACTTGGATTTAATTTTCTTATTATTTTAGAGAGCAGTATACTTTAAAATAAGTAAATACCATATTTGAGAGTAGTGCATCTAGTGAAAGTAAATTATTCAAATACTTAAATGTATCCCATAGTGACCCTTTGCACTTCAGAAACTTTTTGAATAGAGTGAGGACAATCTTTAGCAATTTTATAATATGACTTTCTGACTTCTCATAGAGATCATGGAAACAAGGGAAGGAGGTATGCAGAGATTAGGGAAGGGAATGGAAGACTCCTTGTTTTACTATTCCAGGTAATAGGGGAAAAGTGAATTATAAGTTATTCGCCTTCAAATAATGATGTTAACTGCAAATAAAATAGATTTACATGCATTATAGTTTTGCATATTTAATATTCTCACATGACATAATAGAATGTAATATATGAGAGTAAATGCTTGCTGAATGAAATAATAAATACATTTGCTAATGTACGAATTGGGTGGTAACATAGAGGGAAGAGTTCAACATCAAGGGCAAAGATTTGACTCACTTTTCCACTTTACATGTATATATATTTAACAGTTTAAAGATCACTTTCAAATATATTATTTGAATGGTTATTTTCTTCCTCATGTATAATAGTTAAACAACAAAATAGTGGGGTTTTCTGGTCCTAGAGCTAGCTTGAAAAACCTCAATCCTGTGTTCTGTTGCTAAGTATGATTGCAGTTCCTCTTGATAACAAAATGATTAGTAGGGATGCACGTTTTTGTACTGTGAAAGTCACAGTGGATGCAAATTAAAATGCAGTTAATTTTAAGGGAGAAAATTGGTGCACTATAATGTTAATATTTCAGGTATCAAAACACTTAATGTATAAACTCTCTTCCTATCAAGAAAATTCATTATTTATTTATTTCATTGTTTTCTATAACAAAGAGAGACGAGAGTACCAGTAATGTCTGAAGTCTGGGAGTCGGGTATTGTTTGAAAAACACATTTTAAGCAGACTTGAAAGGAAATGGATCTGGAAGCTGGAAAATTATTTAAAAGGAAAAATGTAGGGGTACCTGGGTGGCTCAGATGTTTAAGCGCCCAACTCTTGATCTCAGCTCAGGTCTTGATCTCAGGGTTGTGAGTTCAAGCTCTACCTTGGGCTCCATGTTGGGCATGGAGCCTACTTAAAAAAATAAATAAAAGGATAAATATAACTAATAACAGAGAAAAAATATCCCTTGCCACCAAATTTTTAAACTTAAATGAGTGACAGTAACAAAGATAAACTGTTCATACATTCATGAATACTGTGACATCCCATTCATCCACTTGGGCAATCTTTTTCCATCAATGTTGATATTTCATTTTTTAGGTAGTCCACTGTCTGATAATAATTTT